CATTGTCTCGCTCTTACCGGGTAAGATTTTTGGTCCTTACTATATTCATCCAGTGAGGTAATGTTACTTGGTAAACGTTTACTCAGGTAAGCATTTGGTAAACGGCCCCGAAATGTGCTAGTATATGCTCGATTTTTTTTGGGTTTGTTTGATGCATCGATTGTTGTCGGCAGCCATTATTTCAGAGCTAGAGAAGAAGAAACAAAACAAGAAAGAAGAACAAAAAAGGCTGGATGAAGAGGGTACTGCAATAGCTGAAGCGGTCACATTGCAAGTCCTAATTGGTGGTGGAACAGGCAGTAAGTGGCCTTACATTTACAGGAGGAGTGGCAATGGAAATGGTTGGATTTTGAAGAATGGTGGATGGGGTGAAGATGGGTGTTTAGAGTATGTTGATGAGATATCTACACAGGCTGTTTCAGGGCTACAGTTGCAGATGATGAAGATACGAATGGGTATGTTTACAACAGAATGGTGAGAGGGTGATGCATGATGCAATTGGGGTTATTTGATAATAAGATGTGTGTTTGTATATACTTTGGGGGTGTTTGTTTGTTGGTTGAAGAACAAAGTGTATTAGGGGTTGTTTATTGTTATTGATCTCATATTCCAATAGATGAACAACTAAACAGCCCATAGTTAATCCTCAGGGGTAAATTGGTCATTTCTGTTATTCAGACTGTTGATTCAGATAGAAATATAAAGTTTTTTAAAATTATTAAATAAAAAACAAAATGAAAACTTGAAAAAGATGAAAATGCCGTCACTTTAGCGATTGAAAGTTAACATGCACAGTCGTTAGAGGGAGACATCAAATCCAAATGCTTTTGCATACCACGATGATCATCTTGTGTTTTTGAAACTATAGGGACAAAAAGTGTTATAGCGGGCAAACACAAAAACCAAATTTGTAGTTTACTTTATCTTAAATTAATATACGCTTTGGTATTTCTTATCATCAACATAAATTAACTTATAGAAATGACATAAATAGTCTATGAACCATAGTGAACCTCTATCTTTTATCATTATTGCTTTAGAATGTTGTCAAGCTTTCCATGTTTAAATTCACTTACAGAAGAGGTCCCTCATTACTATAAAATTGGGTTTATAGAACACCAAGTATGTGTAAACGTCCTAATAGGTTACTTTATAATATTAAAAATAGAGAAAAATAATAAAATAATCATTGTGTTCTCGTATTTAAGGGAGATGCATGAACGTTAGGGTGAAGAACAAAATCCAAAACAAAATGTAAAGATTAAGAGGGTGTTTGCCTCGCATTATGAAATCTGTTGTGATTACAACCTATCAAAGGAATTCAAGTTTGAATGAACTAGAATTGAATTCTATGAAGTTTGATCATGTGTGTTTAGTAGGAATTGACATAGAACCTCTTAAAAAAAATTGAAATCTTCATGTTTGACTCGCAAAAAATAATTTCGATATTGGTATGAAATTATAATAAATGACCAAAATACTCTTTTATCACATTTTCATACTTTCTTCTTTAAATTATATATATTGTACAATGATAATATTATTTGACGGTAATGGTGATAAATTAATTGATGGTAGTGGTGGTGGTAGAAGCAATGAGTGGCAACAATATTGGGGGTATCGCTGACAACGACCGCCTCTATGGTCGGGTGGTGCTGGTAGTAAGGGTGGCGATAGGGATGGGAGCGGGGAGAGGTTAGAGGGTGGTGGTGATATTGAACACAATGCCGTTCCTGAGGTTTTTGATGCCCCGTGCGAACATACTAAAAAATGTTCCTATGCCTATTTTTAAGCAAATGAAACGACGAAAGATTCGATTTTACTAAAGGGTTTGGAACCTAGTCAAGCTAGGCAGCTCAACTTTACATCAATTTTTATTAATTAACATGAAAAATACAATGGGGTGCATAAAAACCAAAACCCTAATTTACAAAATATAAGTATATCACCTAAAACGATGTATTCATGCACTGCGTGAAGCAAAAATATCAATTACTTTTTCATATTCAACATTTAGTAAGTCAGCAACCATTACCATAAGATGATAAGAGAACTTGTATTAATTGGAAATACAATGAATGCATAATATTACAATTAATCAATTAAATGTTACTTTGTTAGAATTTAGAAACAAAATCATACATTGGTTTTAGAAACAATGCAATCGACTTCCACAGTTCCACTTCTAGATTCAGAATCCAGATTTGAAGAAATACAAATGCATTCGATTGTATCTAGATTTGAAAGATTGAAATTTGAGAAAAGAAAGAAGAGAAAGTTTTGAGAAAAGAAAGAAGAGAAAGTTAATACACAGAGTCTTCCCCTGCCTAATTGATCTAAATCTTGCCTTGGCCACTGCACCCAGCCTGGCATGAACCCATCTCAGATGCCCATCAAAGGACCTCGAGATGCTAATCCATGAAAAACGAGACGAACTTCAAAATACCAAAAGGAGGAGGAGCCCATTTGATCCAAGTTTTAAATCTTAATGCTGGCATTCCTCCCTCACATGTGAAGAATTGAGATTTGAGATTTTAATCGACAATCGTGTATTCGAGTAAATATAGTCGGGCAATCGGCAATGCATCGACTGATCATCAAGATCGATTCATCGTCCCATGGACAGTTGTTACACTCGTCACCATTAATCGTTTTCCTCTGGAACTGGAACACCATCGTCGAAAATTGAAAAACTCGAACACTCGAAGAACAATAGAAATCGTCAAAGCCAATCGTCTTTTGAACTGTGATCCATCTATCACATTGTCACCGATTCAAGTCATTGGGTTTGTTATTAACAGGTTTCGTCAGTTGGGCCTCTATTTGTAATTAAAGCCCAAGTATCAAATTATTAAACCCCAAAACTCAAAACTAATATTATATAAAATTTAGATGTCCTTTGGGTTTTGATGCCCTGTGCGGCCACATGGGCTGCACGTGTCCAGGATCGGGCCTGATTGAACATATATATAATAGACTACGGATTTTTTGGGACCTTGGTCTTTTATAAAGATAGGTAGGAATAGAGTAAATTCCGTTATGTGGTGGAATGATGAATTCCGTGAACAACGGATTTTATAGAATTTAATTTCATTCCATCCACAACTAAACGCTTCATGGAAGAATTTCGTTGGATTTGCAACACTTTTTCCGTATGGCTATGTTTGCCAAACATAGACTATTTTATTTTTGGGCAAATTACATGAAAAAGTAACGTACTTTAACTTGATTTCTATTTTGGGTAATGTATTTTCAAAAATTTCATTTTGATACCTAAGATGTATAGTTTTAACCATTTAAATACTCTGGTAACCGGTTGGAACATTAACCGGTTAAACATTTTGAATCATTAACTACTTAGATTAAGATATCCATGTCAGCAAATAATACTGAGTTGGATACCACATCATTCGCCACATCAGTATGGTAACCAATTAATGTTTCACCATGTTACCCGGGTACTTAAATGTTTAAAAATTTACAACTTAGGTACCAACATGGAATTCTTGAAAGTACGTTACCCAAAATATGAATCAAGTTAAACTACGTTACTTTTTCATGCAATTTGCCTCTTTATTTTTTTAGATTATTTCAAAAGTCTCATTTAGTTGGGCAAAAAGTAACTTACAAGATAACTTATTGAAACGTTATTTGGAATAACATTTCAATAAGTTCCACTTGAATTAGAGTGTCCTACATCTGCACTTGCCATAGTGGAAATCGAGTGCCCTGATCAAGCTTTGGAACATCGAACTTCACCGATATCATAGCATTAATCGATGATAAATAATCCTAATAAAAATTCAATACCAAACATAGAGGCTCTGATACCAATTGTTGTAAAACTTGAACCGTAAATGTTTCAAAAACAAACTCAAATAGATGTTCCAAATAAGAACCATATTGATTCAAGCAGAAACGTATTATCAATCAAGAAATTCGACGAACAAATAATCCAAACAATAGAATATCAACACACATACGTAGATCATTGTTGAACAGAAAATAAAAGTGAGAGACGACCAGTGTTGATATTCTATTTCTGGCATATTTAATAGCTTCCAAAGTCGTCCGAGCTACTATTTCTTCATATTAGAAGCTGATTTTTGAAACCAAACTTCTCAAATATATTGTGTGTTATTTATCCGAGTCTAATATATAGAATTATGACTCAAATGTTATAAGTCGTCATTTATTTTGTTAGGCTATTTGACAGAGATATACATTGGGTTAAGGTTCAAAGTGAAAGACTACCTTCATTTATGCATAATGAGGTTGGTATTAGTGAGGGATTGTTAATGAGTTATCTTAATTAACTATTACAGAAAATCACGATATTTAGGTCCATTGAAGCTCTTGGCCTTTCTAGTATTTGATACATACCCTAGAGCATAGAAGACGAGTTTTCCCACAAACCTACAAGATTTCAACATTATAACACATCACAAGCTTTAACAATATGTCAAATTAGGACCAAAAAATATACACATTCGCTAACTAAATATAGCAGTTACATAGATAAATTTAATATTCAAGAGATGCTTTAAAAAAGGAATTCAGCTAATACGACTTCTATTTTAGAAAATGTTTTAAAGAACTTCTTAAAACGTCTTATGAACCTGTTCTAACCTTTTAGATAATACACTTTATAGTTTGGTCTTGTAAACTTAATTAAGTCCCATAAACTATGCTATTAAGACGCTTTAATACTCTAAACGTCCCATAAACTCAAATTTTGTTGTAGTGTWGTTTTGACGACAAATAATAAAACCAACGGTGATTCATCGGTGAAATTTTAACGGGTTACCAACATTTCAATAAAAGTTCTCAATCAAAGAAAATGAAAAGAAAAATCCAACAATTATCCGTCGGTAATATGAACAATGAATTATTATGTTCTCTTTTTCAAATTTTCACAATTCACAGGAAAAGGATCAAGTAAAAAACAAACAATTTATTAAAGAATTCATTGCAGCATGTTCCGTTTTAAACAAATCAAATACTCGATACAATTTTCGATTGATTTAAATCAAATTTATGCTATTAACAACTTATGATTCAAGTTAAAACCCACATCAATATCAATTGGTTGTCGTACAAACTCTACGAATTTCTCCTTGCATTCCCGTTTTCACCTCAGTATTACCCATCTTCACCATGGCTCTTCCAAACTCGCTGTTGAATCTCGATCCAGGTTGCCCCCTCGTTCCCAGAAACCCTTGTACAAACCCCTGAGTCCTCCGGTCGCTCCATAGCTTTGCGTCGGATTCAAGAACTCCTCGTCCATTCCTCAGATTTTCATAGAAGGAACTGCCAAACCGATCAACGCTGCCTGTATCAAGGGCCACACGCCTCAACCCATCACCACCATTGGGACAAAGTGCTCGGAGTTGGGGAAGGAACGCTTGGTTTATTTCAGGGTCAGGTCCATTGGTATTGTTGAAGTTGTATAGTCTGTAGCTGAATAATGCACAAGCTGACGTTCCAATTGTATGTCCGCCTAGTAAAAGRAAGATTACACGGTTTAATHTRTGATTAACAGGGTTGCATATTRTGTAATATATAGTTATTCTACATTTTTAWTTGYTRCTTACCAACAAGAGTAACAAGATCTTGTGTGTTAAGACCTTTGTCTGCAAACTTTCTGATTTGAACACTAATAGGGTCGTTAAACGCAGGTAAGGMTGCAGTATCAGATGCTTGTGAAACCAATCCRTCTCTACGCCCTAATGGCACCTGCCAACTACGTCCACCGGTCTGCAAGATGTTAGGAAAACGATAAATAACCAATTAACAAGTAGTTCTTAATGCATAAACTCAAAGATGGTGTGCTAAGAAAAATCCAATTACCTGGACTACAGAATCACG